AACCTCTTCTTGCGGTGTGTTGTCACCTATGACCAAGCCTCCATGGGCTGCTGTGGCATGTGCCACTTTGTTGATGGTTTCATCTGAAAGCTTGCCTGGGTTTTGGGCTTTGAAAAACTTGAGTGCATCACTGTAAACCGTTGACTGGGTCAAGCGAGCTTTCGCTTCGGCTGGGATCGACGAGGGTTTCCCAGAGATCGCTTCATTGGAAGCAGCAGAAACAGCGCTGACGACCCTTGCTGCTTGGTAGGCCTCGCTCCTTATCAAACTGTTTACAGCCTGCGAGGCACTTAGAAGCGATCCTCCTGCTATGCCCTCCGAGGTACGAAGCATTGACACAACTGCGGGATGTAGGAAATGCGACCGAGGAAGCATAAACCGCGTGGCAGACAACAGAGTATTCGCTGCTCCCATGAACCGCGGTACCACCAAGCCTACTCCCTTGATGGTCAAGTGAATTGCTTCTTGGGAAACTCGGACTAACATCCGTGTCCCTGCCGCACCGCCTGCCATCCTAGCACCATCTGTAGGATCGTACGGTAAGACCATCCATTGGTCGTTCTTCACTCCCTTCCAAATTCTCACCGTTTCGACCGAGTTCATAGCGATCGCATCCGGGTTACCCTTCGTTCCCATTTGATCGGAAGCAAGCATGCCGAACCCAATTCCGACGCCTTCTAGCGACTTCAACAGCACATATAATTGTTGTCGCTGCGATCCGACACTCATCTTCAAACCGAGCAATGATGACAGACGAGTGACCATTTGGTCTTTCACGCCTGAGTCAGTGTCTGTGCGTGGCTCTAGGGTAGCATACGTTCCGAGGGAATGCACCCTCGCAAAACAGAGTGCGCCCACCCTAGATAAGATCAGCGCGGCCTTCCTGAGCGTCTCCACGTTGAGTAGCTGCCCGAGTCACTTGACAACTGAATGCAACTCTCGATTCTTGATGCCCAGATGTTCCAGAACTGCCGACGCTTCGTCGGAGAGCACCGGCGAGGACCCGTCGGGCGGGTATGCCAATAAGTTGATCGGGCGGGACAGATGGCCAGTAGATCCGGCCAACAACATTGCAAGAGCAGTTGCTGGTATTGCCTTTGCATCGATGTTAGGCAAATATCGCTTGATCATTTGTATATTGGCATGCAGGGCCAGATTCCCTCCCGGAGTCTCTGCTAAAGTCCGCAAGGCACTGTTGGGGTACGTGATCGGCGAGTCAGTTGTGATTTCTATCGTTGTTGGTCGCCCGCCAGCATGGATCAGGTTGCCTGCATTCACAGTGATGAATCGCAATCCGACTCCATCATAAGAGTACTCAGCTGCTTGCGTTAAGTCAAGCAACTCGCCGTTGCTGGTTGCAGTCAGAACGTTTAGAATCTCTGTTGAGCTGTCGTGGACCTCGGTCGATGCCGCTTCGATGTTCGAGAGGATGCTGCCGACAGCCACCGCGGCTCCCATGTCGGAAGTTGGAGGCCCGATAAAGCAAAACAGCTGTCGAGCCAAAGGGTTTAGGGTTTAGGGTTTAGGGTTTAGGGGTACCTCCAACTATCTGTCTGTCTGTCTGTCTATCTATCTGTTTATCTATCTATCTGTACACCGATCTATCGATCTATCTATCTGTCCATGTATCTAATCTATCTATCTATCTGTCTATCTATCTATCTATCTATCTATCTGTACATATATATATATATGTATATTACAATAAAGTACATGTGTGTATATACGTATATTTGTATACTTATGTATAATTGTGTGCATGTGTATACATACTTATATGTATATATCTGTATCTATATCTATATATATATATATATCTATGTGTGTGATCAAGATCGTTAGGTTCTGATTGGCCTCTCCCACGCAGATAGCTATGCTTTCACGTACATTATAAACTCTATATATATATATATATACACATTTGTGAGTACTTGCGTGTATATAAACTCACATACATACATGTGTGTGCATATTCGTGTTTAAACTGATTTCGACATACAGTGGTTCAATATGTGTGACCTGGGGTGTGGGGGGTTCGGGCGTTGAGAGTCTACAACTTTGGCTGTTGGTGATCTCGACAAGGGGTTCCATATCTCGGGAAGATCATAACCCAGGTACCTCGCAACATGACGATTCGCAGTAGTTTAGGGTTTTAAGTTTAAGGGTTATACAGGGAGTCAAGGTACAGCCCCTTGGGCCAAAATCTCGTTTTGCAAGGTGGATCTTTTGTTCACCCTGAAAAACTAGATAAGCCTTACTTGTCCAGTATCCTAGGGGAACTGAGGGTGGACCCTGTGGGATCCTGTAGAGATTTTTAAGCACATGACAAAGGATAAGGGGTTACCTACTCTTCTACTAAGAATCCCTAAGCCCTAAACACTAAACCCTAAACACTCTCTATCATATGATATTTAAACCTTACATGGTCTCGTGGAATATGATTTGTTCGGTGTTTTTCTCGCCAAATTGAACGAAGAAATTGCCAACTTCCGCGAACAAATTGACGCATTCCACGAACAGAATGCCAAACTCAAGTGGGAGTTTCCGAAAATAAGGGGTACCTTATTTAGGGGTCATTATAATAAGGATCCTACTATTTAGGGTACTATTTTCGGAAACCCCAAAATGCTCAATGAAGGCCAGCCCTTCGTTTATTTTTGCCATTTCTTCGCGGAATTTGGCATCTGGTTCGCGGAATTCAACAATTTGTTGGAGGAAGTTGGCAATTTCTTCGTGGAGAATGGCGTTTGCTTCGAGTTTAGGGCCTAGCTTTTTGCGGCGTTGGGTTTAGGACCAGGTTGTTGGGGTTCCGGGATCAGGAACTCATTTTACTAAACGTATAATGGTTTCCTAATGATGTGGGAATCTTGGGTGGGCGGGATGATTTCCGGAGCTGAGCTCGACCCCAAACTGCCCGATCCGGAGCTGCTGAACCCTAAACACAGTGAAAAAGCTGACCCCCCTCCGACTCCAAGAAGCGCCACGTGCTAGGGTTTAGGGGTTTAGGGTTTAGGGTTTAGGGGCTGAGGGTTTAGGGGTTTAGGGGTTTGGGGTTTAGGGTTTAGGGGTTTGGGGTTTAGGGTTTCGGGGTCTTAGGATTAGATTAGGGTTTTGGGGTACCAACTACAGATGCACCGGGATGAGAAGGGGGTATGGTCACGAATTCTCCCGCCCAGTCCAATAGAGAAGGCCTAGACTTGAAATTTGAATCCTAGACCTAAAACCCTAAACCCTAAACCCTAAACTGTTACAAGCCCTACAGCTTCGAACTCCCACAACCTAAGACAACACAGAGGAGACACTTAAGACTTGGCTATATCTCTTTTCTTCAATCACCAGGGCCCACAAAGTTCAAACTTTTCCTTCAACTTTGTTTACAACCTCAGAAAGTTTAAAGTTCTCGAACTGAGGAACCCTAAACCCTAAACCCTAAACCCTAAACCGAGCAGTAAGAGATCCGGCAACCTTTCTAACAACCCTTCTGAAGACAAAGCTGGTGGTTAACCCGAAGGGTTTACGGTGCAGGGCTTACGGCCTAAGACCGTGAAGGCAAAACAGGGACCTTTTGATATAATTCAGGGTTTCGGGGTATGCCATCGCGTAACTACGTGGACTGTCAGAGGATTTTCGCTTCAAGCTATTCAGGCCCTCATATTAGCTTGATGCTGCTCTTTGGAGTCACCCTACTTGCGACTCTAGCTGCAGTCCACGAACCTTCAGGAACGTAGCTAGAACGCATTCGGAAGTCCTTCTACTATTTCCCTATGCTTCCAAGGACCTTATAGTTAGGGCCCTAGACCCCTTAAGGACCCAATAATGAGGTCCCTGGAAGCGTAGGGTTTAAGTGAGGTTTAGCTTTTCTGATTCTGCAAAAAACCCTAGTCCCAACTTTCCCTAAACCCTACACCCAAAACCCTAAACCCTAAACCTAAAACCCAAAACAATAAACCCAAAACCCAAAACCCAAAACCCAAAACCCTAAACCCCAAACCCTAGCCCCAACTTCCTTTAAGACCGGAAAACGCTTGTTGAGGCCCTGGCTCAGACCCCCGTCTCGCCTTCTTGGACCTTCTTGGAGGTCCACTGCTAGCCATAAGTGGGGATTATGGGGTTCCTTTAAGGGTTCGTTTAAGGCTTCCTCTAAGGGTTCTATAGGGTTTAGGGTTCATGGGTAGTTATAAGTGGGGTTCAGGGTTTAGGGGTCTATCCGAAGGTGTAGGGGTTTAGGGGTTTAGAGGACCTTCTTGGAGGTTCATTGCTAGCTATAAGTGGGGTTATGGGGGTTCCTTTAAGGGTTCCTTTAAAGGGTTCTATCGGGTTTAGGGTTCATTGGTAGCTATAAGTGGGATTATGGGGTTCCTTTAAGGGTTCCTTTAAAGGGTTCTCTCGGGTTTAGGGTTCATGGGTAGCTGGAAGTGGGGTTATAAGTAAGGTAACATTAAGGATTCGTTTAAGGCTTCCTTTAAAGGGTTCCTTCAAGGGTTCAGAATTTAGAGGTTCATTGTGGGGTTCCTTTAAGGGTTCCTTTAAAGAAGGGTTCTATAGGGGGTTCATGGGTAGTTATAAGTAGGGTTATGAGTAGGGTAACTTTAAGGGTTCCTTTAAGGCTTCCTTTAAAGGGGGTTCATGGGTAGTTATAAGCTATATAAGTCGGGTAACTGTAGTGATAACCCACATTGGTGGGCTTATGAACACACTTATAACTACCCATAAACCCTAAACCCTAAACCCCCCAACACCCTAACCCTAAACCCTAATCCCCTCACTTATAACTACCCCTAAACCCTAAACCCTATAGAACCCTTTAAAGGAACCCTTACAGGAACCCCATAACTCCGCGCTTATAACTACCCATGAACCTCCGAGTTGGCCAGGAATCCGACGTTTCGGCGTAGAATCCAGGTTGACTGCTAGGTTGCGCGAGAAAGTTTTTAGGGTTTAGGGTTTAGGGTTATTTGTGGGATGTTGCCCTACACTTCCAGGGACCTCATTATTGGGTCCTTAAGGGGTCTAGGGCCCTAACTATAAGGTCCTTGGAAGCATAGGGTTGCATAAACCGAACAGCATCAGGCTTTCGGCCTACAGTTAGAACCGATTTTTTATACTCTACTGCAGTTATATGAAGAGCACTAAGTATTGGTCATTGTTCCAGCTTCCAGCATACTCTTACAAGCAAAAACTGAGAAATGCTAGATGGTAGCCATGGACCGAGATGTGTAAAGTCACCACAGGCAGGCCCGTCGCAGCTCGTTCAACGAAATTTCCTCCTGAAACCCAACACCCGAAACCTCAGACCAAGAAGGAACTATGTGAAGAAATAGGAACCCCAAAGCGGTAGGTTATGGTAGCTAGATGCCCTAAACCCGAAACCCTGTAAACCCCAAACCTATTCTTTTCATGTAAGGCTACAGCTTCTACGTCTTATGAACCCTGAAAAATCTCTCAACAACTGTAAACCCTATAACCTCAAACCCTAAACCCTAAACCCTAAACCCTAAACCCTATAACCTTAATCTGTCTCTATAAGCTTTACAGATCTCTCCACATCTTCAAACCCTTGAAGCCTTTCATGGGGTCGTGCATGTTGGGACTGAAGCCCGCTCGAATGGACCAGGGCAAAAGCCCAGGTCGCTATAAGGTTTTGGGTTTCGGGTTTGGGGGTTTAGGGCTTAGGGCTTTAAGGTCTTGGGTTTCGGGTTTAGGGGTTTAGGGTTTGGGGCTTCGGGTTTAGGGTTTAGGGGTTTAGGGTTTAGGGCTTGAGGGCTCTATCGCCTCTACAGATACGTGCCTTATGCTTGCCTTTTTTAAAACCATGCACAAAGCCTCATAAAGCTCCTACATAATGCAGAGAAGACAATGTAGGACCCCTAGGATTGATGATACAAATCCTGCATAACCCATAATAAGGAAGATACGAAAATTCCCATATTTTAGAGTCCTTAAGGTAGAGCAGGATTTATATCGTCAACAGTATCTTTCGCTTATCATGAGACCTCTGGAAACAAAGGCGATTCTTTGGCCCTGGCGGCGTGGTTCGCGAGCTCAAGTTCTGAGGACCAGGGAGAGATCAAAAGCTTCGATAAGGGGTGTAGGGTTTAGGGTTTAGGGTATCCCTAAACTCCTAACCCCTAAACCCCTAATACCCTAAACCCTAACCCCTAAACCCCAAACCCTAACCCCTAAACCCCTAAACCCTAAACCTTAAGCCCTAAACCTTAAACCCTAAACCCTAAAAGGGGTCCCGGGGGTTCGGTTTGAGATCTGTGGGAGCTTAGGAGTTTTAGGCCTTCGGTTTTGGGGTCTATTTAGGGTATTAAGAGTCAGGGTTTAGGGGTGTACAGGAAACCCCAGAACTTTGGAGACCGGATTCAGGACAAATAGTGCTGGGATTCTCTATACATTACTCTTAAGGATTGAAGCTATTGAGTTTCCAACTTTTGGGCTTCTACTGTAGGCTGTAAGGAGCTGCAGTTTATGGGGGCTGGCTTAGTTGGGCAATAGAGGTTGGGGGTTCAGGGTCTATATTATAAGGGGCTTAGAGATAGTCATGGCCCTAAACCCTAAACCCTTAAACCCTAAACTCTAAACCCCAAAACCCTAAACCCTTAAACCCTAAAACCCTAAACCCTAAACCCTTAAACCCTAAACCCTTAAACACTAAACCCTTAAACACTAAACCCTTAAACACTAAACCCAACACCCTAAACCGTGGGAGTCCAGGGTTGGATCTGGGTTAGGGTTTGGCTTGGAAGGCCGACTATCTTCCTCGGGGGTTCTGTCGGTTTCGTGCGTGTTATGACGTACTTCCCGAATAATCCAGGGAAATAAAAGGTTAAACTTTCAGATTACGACTAAGATATAAGAACCCAGAAAGTTCAAAGGTTGGGTATTGGGCAACTAAGAAGGACATGCCTGCCGAACCCTAAAGCCCCCTAAACCCTAAACCCTAAACCCTGAACCCTGAACCCTAAACCCTAAACTCAAAACCCAAAACCCAAAACCCTAAACTCAAAATCCTAAACCCAAAACCCAAAACCCAAACCCGAAACCCTAAACCCTAAACCCTAAAAGCCCCAAAACCCTAAACTCTAAACCCTAAATCGCCAAAGCCCCTAAACCCTAAACCCTAAACCCTAAATCGCCAAAGCCCCAAAACCTAAACCCTAAAACCCTAAAGCCCCAAAGCCCCAAAGCCTTGAGAACCCCTCGGAGAAGATACTTGCGCAGCCAAAGACCTCCTACACCATGCAGTAGGTTTAGGGGTTTAGGGTTTAGGCTTTAGGGTTTAGGGTATAGAGTTTAGGGTTTAGGGTTTACGATATCGCATATGCAATGCTGCTCGCAATCATTGCTTGCAGGATCATCGGTAGTCTTCTCTGGAGTTCTAAGTCCCCTAGTCCCCTAACATGGGTTATAGTTACAGAGACCCTACTTGTAACGCGACTTATAGCTACCCATGAACCCTCAACCATAAACCCTATAGGACCCTTTAAAGGAACCCTTAAAGGAACCCCCTTGTAACCCCACTTATAACGGGTCGTCAGGATGTACTGCGGACAACAAGTCAAAACTGATTTCATCTCCTTGGTTCTACCGTCGAAACCTTAAAAAAAGACAACCGGGAATGCACAATCCGGAGAGCGGGGAGATTGTGGACTTAGGGTTTAGAGTTTTAGGGTTTAGGATTCTGTGCCCCAAGCCCTGAACCCTTAACAAGTCCACATCATAGTAAGCCCTAGCAGCCCACACCCTGAAACCCTGCAGTACGCAAGCCCCAGCTGAGCTCTCATTACCACGAAGGGATTCTGCGCACATCGTGAACTTTCGGTGCTGTGGTAACTGAAAACAAGCCCAAACGGTTATGAATCACCAACTAACCCCGTGTCAACCCTGCTGTAAAACTACAAATCACCAACTAAGCCCCCAGTCAACCCTCCCGTAAAGCCAAAGAGCTGAGCGCCCGTCTTTCTTTGGATCTACAACGAAAGCGGAGTTGGCCGCCCATTGCTTCTTGTTCGGCTTCCTCAGAGGGTCAATGATCCTCATGCCCTTAAATTGAAAGTATAGGAGATCCCAAGCACCAATCATCCTAAATCCATGTTCCAACTTTCTGGGACTCACTATAGGGGCTTAATGTTTCCATGTTGTTCAGTTTCTAGGTTTTCACGATTACGGCTGCAGGGTTTTTGTTGTTCAGGGATGAGGCTTCGCTGGGGAGAGAGTTACCGTTCTGACTGCAGCAAAGTTACAGTAATTCGCCACGGTCTTGCACTATTCTGTTATAAAAGTCGCCTCTGTTATTTTGGAATGTGTGTTGGAGAGAGTTGATGCACATGCCCAGGTTGCGGGCCGAGGGCTTTTCTCCATTCGGGCTCCCTTTCGGATGCTTTCCACTGCATCCTCGGCAATGAATTGCAGCCTGACGACTCTCTTTCAATATACTCCTTCGAAGACTCAATACTGAACGGAAGAGGGCTGAAACCCCCTTAAGCCCTAAACCGATACACCCCACACCTTACACCTAAACCCTAAACTTGGCCCTGAACCCTAAACCCTAAACCCTAAACTTGGCCCTAAACCCTAAACCGGGTGCCCGCACCCGTCTAAGCGGTTGGTCGCCGGCAGCATGGATCTCCGAGCATTGGGCGCCCCCTCAGGGCGCTTGTCCTGGGCAAAAAGCGGGGGTTTAGGGTTTAGGGTTCGACGGTTTAAGGTTGAGGTTTTAGGGTTAACGTTTAGGGTCTAGGGTTTAGGGTTCAGGGTTTGGTTAGGGTTTAGGGTTTAGGGTTCACGGTGTGACG